ACTCGAGGGCGCCCTCCCCCAGGATGCACGAGAACACCCAACAGACGCGAAAAGCGTCGGGGCGCCCCCCTGGGCCCCGAGCCGACCTCGACGTCGCGCCCCAGCCCGACCGCGCAGAGCCTTGAACTGGCAAGTTGGCGGGCGCCTGCCGCCGAGCGGCTCGGGGCGCTGCGTCGACGCGACCTCCTGCTCAGCAGACGGCGCCAAGGCCCGCGGCCGCGATGGCAGCGAGGAGGCCCGCCGCGCCACCAGGCGGCGCCTGCCAGCCCAGACGCCGAGGGCACACTCTTCGATCTGGGCGCGTAAGGTGGCCGCGTTGAAATTGGCAGCCATTCGGCCAATGGCAGCACCAGTGACGCAGAGCCCCTGAGCCAGATAGCCCCGCGACTCGACCGTCGCATCCAAGACGCCCTGAACCAGGGCATGGGCCTCAGCAGCGTCAGCGTCGGCCCGGCCCTTCCAGTGCCCATGCCATTATCTGTGGCACTTGGCCAGCGCCTGAACAGGGCTGGCACGTCGATCGTGCACCTGGAGCACGCCGGCGACGACATCGGGCTCGACCTGCCCCGGCCCTCGACTCCACTTGTGGAGCATGGGCGCCGCTCGCTCGAGGTCGGTCTTCAGCGCCCCCCAACAAGCGCCTCTGGTTGCCCTGGATAACTAACTCTCGACGGGCATCCGACGCCGCAACCTGCGGCGCGCGGGCCGCCGTCAGGCAATGGGCCGTCAGCGAGCTGCCCAGCACCTGCGGCGCCAGCGCCACATGCGCCCCCGCTCCGCCGCTCCAGCGCGGCGCTCGCCTCGCAGCGCCCGCGGCGATCGCGAGCGGCCGGGCGTTCTCCGGCGGGCCCGAGCTAGCCATGCAGCCTGGCCCGTCGCCCGTGCCAGCGCCGAACGGCTGGGCGCGGCGGGCTCGTCGGACGGCCCGCCGGGCGCCCTAGCGGCAGCCGCGCCAGCGGCCCCCCGCGCGACCTCGCGCGACGTCTTTGGCCGAGCCCCGGCCCAACTCGGCCGGCCGGCGCGCGGGCGGTGGAGGCTCTCGCCGGCTGGCGACCTCTGCGCGCGATTAGGCCTGGGCCCAGCGCCCAGCAGCCCGCCGGCGCGCGGCGACCCGGGGGCGGCCGGTCGTCTGGGCGTTGCCGATCGGCAACGCCCGGACGGCCGGCCGCCCCCGAGGGCCCCTCCGCAGCGCCCCGCAGCGCGCCCAGAGACAAGTCTCCGTCCCCTGAGACTCCCTCACCCGAAGTTGTCCGAGGGGCCAAGCTCGCCGTCGCCCAGCGTCATCCGCAGCTCTCGCGCGAGCGCCGCGCCGAGCAAAGTCGACGGCAGGGCGCCCCATGTGCATGGTGGAGATGCGCGCAACGCTCAAGCAACACCTGCCCCCAGTCAGCCCAGTCGGCCTGGGCCTCGTAATCGGCGATCTTCCCGCCAGCAGCGAGCCCCGCGCGCAGCTGTGCAAGATGCCTCCAGAGCTGCCGGCGCGCGCTGGCGCCACCGCCTAGCGCGGCACGCCAGCGCTGCGGCCTCTCGAGCTTGGCAAGCGTGCCCGCGAGCCACCGGGGCCCGAGCTAGCCCTCGGTCGCTGGTGACCCTTGGTCTCCAAGGCCTGGCCCAGCGGCATCTCGCAGAACGCTGCTGGACTGCCCCAGCACGCCAGGTCGCAAGCGTCGGCTGGCTTTCAAAGTCCAGCTTGCGCACCTCCAACCAACGGTCACGCCGGTCATCCGCCGCCGCCTGCGAGCGATTGGCGACGGCCGCTCTGCCACTGCCAGGGCCTTCGCGCGCTCCTCCACCGGCGGGGCCCAATCGGGGTGCTCCCGCCTGGGCCCTTTGTTTGGGCCTCTCCGCGGGGAAGCGGAGCAGGCGGCGCGCCACCTTGGCCGCGGGGCATTCGCTGGCCCGCAGAAGCTCCATATCCGCCACGCCATGCGTCGGCACCTGGAACTCCGGCCTGGTCCGAAGATGTCTGTGCGCCAATGCCACCCAACCACCTGCGACGAAGAAGCCCCGCCCGCGCACGTGCCCGCGCACGTGCCCGCAGAGGCGTGGCACGTGGCATCAGGCGGCGACGGGATCTGCAGCCCTGCCCCGCTGAAGCCCCTGAACTGCGGCACCTCTGACGGGCCAACCCCCTCCTACCACCCGCGGGAGTCGATGCGTCCGCGTGTGCGTGGCCAACGCATGGTGCGCGTCGAATTTGCCGTCGAGGCCCACTGCTGTCTCAAAATAGACGCTGTGGACAGACAGAACGCCGCCACCAGGCAGCCGCCAGAAGCCACAGACCACCCTGCCCAGCGCAATCAATGCCTCGGCTGGTCCCCAGGAAAAAATTAACGTGCTTGCGCGCGTGAGAACTCCGGCCCATCCACTCAACCCAGAGTGCCTCAGCGTCGGGCGCGCGCCAGCCATCGTCCATCCTCGCGCAGTGACGGAATTCTGGGCGTTCTTCAGGCGCTCGGCAGACATCGTAAGCTACTGCGCCAAAGCCAAAGAGCAACCATAATTTGAAAGATTTTCCACCATCTGAGAACCCGTCCCCCATGACGCGCCGTTAACCGCGGCGAAGGTCAGGAGGCACAGCTCGCCTGGCTCGCGGGGGCTCCTCTGCCACATGTCGGCGCTCCCGGCTGCCCACATCCAGTCGTATTTTTATTGCGCCTGGGCTTGTCATCAAACCCGAGCGTGCTTGCCCATGCGCAGGCCCCTGGGCATCTCAGCGAACGCCCGCTTGGCCCCAGGCTTGCTGGCGGCCTCCTGGAGCAAGATGATACTGATGTCGTCCAGGATGTCTGGCATTGTGAGAGGGATGAGCGAGCAAGACAGCCAATCAGCATATACCCACCCCCTGTGGAATGGCGCCTGCACTGGGCACTTGGCCGCAGGTCACTCCACAGAGACGCGTGCGCCTTGAGGGTCACGCACAGAGAGGTGAGAGAAGATAACAACTAAGAGGATAACTGCGGGCGTCCCCACCGGCCTGGCCTGAGACATTTTCCACAAGCATTTCCTCGTCAGCTGCCTCGGCGCCGCCTCCACCGCCCGCCCCTGCAGCCAGCGGCGGACCAGCAGCCACAACAGCGCTTTTCTCCAAAACCTTCCCGTGGAGCTCCCCCAGCATCTTGGCCGCTCCCTTTCCCGGGGCCTTACCTAAGGGGGTGTGCGACGATGGCCTCCGTGATGTGTTGCTGCTGGAGCACCCGGTCCGCACGGGCTGGAAGGCGCTGCTTGGACCAGAAAGCGAACGACACCACCCCACATACGGTCCAACGGGTTTGGGCGAAAACCAGGAAATCAGGCGCGGGATGTTGCGCGGTATGCGCTACGGCCCCCGATGGGCCGTAGCGCAACATGGAGGGCCGTAGGTGGAGTGGTGTCGTTTGTTCTTTGGTGGCGCTGTTGCCCTTGCCGACCCTCAGGGACAGCCTTCGACGTCGCCTGCCGCAGCTCCCCCTGCAGCTGTTCGGTGCTGCTTGCCGTGGGCTCGACGTTTTCAACGTCGGCCTCGAGATCGGCCTTCGCTTGCTCGAGCGACTCCGCCGCATCCTTCACTGCCTGCTGCTTCCCTTCCGTCGCCGCGACAGGCCGTTCCTCGGTGGCCTGCATGCGGCCGAGCCGACCAGCGATGGTGCCCACTTACGCCTGCGGCGCCTCGTCGGCAGGGCGAGCCACGCGGAGGGAGGTGAGCTGCACCTCCATGGTATCGATGAGGCTCGGGGGCATCTTGAGCTTCTTGGAGCGAGCCACCTGGCATTCGAGCTCCTCGATCTCCGACAGTCGAGCACTTTTCTAGTCCAGCCCGCCCTCACCAGGTGGTGGCGAGGTCACCCGAGCACTGGACCCGTTGCCCAGCCCATTCTTGACCTCCGCCAGCTCCCTTTTGAGCCCCTCCAGCATGCTGATGAGCTGGGCGTTGGAGGCGCCTGAGCCGCCCGCGCCACCTGCTCCGCCACTGCCGCGCTGGCCCGTCGCCTTCGCGTGTGCCTCCTCCTTCGCCTGGAGCACGACGTCGGCGGGCGCACGCGCGCCGCAGCCACGGACCACACGGCAGGCCCAGTTGGCCCTGCGGTCGCACGCCGAGCACGCCCACTGCGGGCCCTTCGGGCCCCTTTCACCGCAGCAGAGGAGCGCCTGGGCAGGTGGCGGCACCGCTCTCACCGCAGCAGAGAGGCGGCTGCAGCCCTGAGCGCTGGTGCAGAGCTCCGCACCCGGGGAGGGCCCGGCGGAGGGGTCGAGACCTGCCGACGACCAGCGGTACCCGTTCTGCCTGGAGGCTGGACAGCCTCCCGGGAAAGCACCTTGAGCCAAGACGACCACGGAGGAAGGACGACGACGGAGATGAGGAAGCGCAGGAGGAGTACTGTGGGGTGGGTAGGGGCGACAAGGAATTGCAGAAGTGGAGGGGGAGGAGGTGGATGGGGGAGGAATCAGGGCATGGGGAGCGTGGGAGGAGAAAACGGCACACAAGCAGAGGGTGTAGACGGGGGGTCATGAGGAGCGGGAAGAATCTGTAGATGACCCGGGCATCCTGGCGTCGTGGACGGGCGGGTCCTCACGTGGCCACGCGAATGCCCCAAAGAGGACTCGGGAGGGGAAGTCCGTGCCCAGAGAGGGGTCGAGAGATTCGCCGGCTCATGCGAAGGACAAACCACGGCGGTGGACGTCTGCGGAGGAGGACTCGAGGTGCTGTAGCTCAGGGGCGCCGCTTCCCCGCTAGCGGGCCCGATCGCCTGGTGTTGGCACCCCAGAGAACACGGTGGTCGCAAGAGTCTGCCGCGCTTGGCTGTCAAGACCGCGGCAATCTCTGGGTCAAGCGGGATCGTGCGCTGGGGGGGCTTCGCAAAATCGCCGCTGGCATGCAGGGGGGGGGGGGAAGAGGCGCATGGGCAGGAGGATGCAGAGAAGTAGGGCACGTCACTTCCGCCCTCCCCTCTCGCCCCTCTCTCGCGGCTCTCCCCTTCAAGCGAGTAATCCTTGCACTAGCCCTCCCCCAAACGCGGTGCCAAGATCATGCCGCTGGTGGCATCGTCTTCGAGCAGCGTGAGGCAGAACTGCCTGGCTATTCTGCCAACCTTTCCGGGCGAGAACGGGGGGACGGAGCAGGGGAGAGAGCGAGAGAGAGAGAGAGAGTGAATGATCGAAGGGGGGGTAAAGGTGAGAGGGGGAGTGAACGATAATCAGAGATACAAAGAAATCCAGAGAGAGAGAGAGGAAGCGAGAGAGAGAGAGAGAAAAACAAAAAAAGAGACACACAGAGAGTATATAGAAAGAAGAAAGAGACACACAGAGAGTATATATAGAAAGGGAGCGAGAGAAAGAGAGAACACACGCAATCAACACATCGGAACAATTCGACGAGCCGAAGTCCGTCTGGCGCGAGGGCTGCTGCACACGCCGCCCGCGCCAACCTCACGTGACGGGTGCGAACCGGGGTGGGGGGACACTGCCCCCCCCCCCGTAGCGCGGTCTGGAGGGGGGGCTCGACTGGAAGGCAGGAGCGGGGGGTCTCCTCCTCCTCCTCCTCCTCCTCCTCTCCTCCTCCTACCTCCCTCCTCCTCCTCCTCCTCCTCCTCCTCCCCCTCTCCTCCCCTCCTCCTCCCTCTTCCTCCTCTCTTCCTCCTCCTCCTCCTCCTCCTCCTCCTCCTCCTCCTCCTCCTCCTCCTCCTCCTCCTCCTCGGCGAGAAGGGCGGGGCTCGCCCCTCCTGCACCCCCTGCTCACCCGCAGGCAGAGAGGCGCCGGCTGCACCACACGCCTCTGGCACGCGTGCCGCGGCGCGCGGGCAGTACAGCAGCGCCGCCGTGGGGCAGCCCCCGCAGCGGCCCAGCAGGAGGGCAGCTGAACTGGGGCCGACAGCTCACGAAGCCCACAGGGAGGAGGGGCGCTGGCCCTGGCGTGCCGCGCGTTGGGCAGCAAGGAGGGCCCTGAGCCTGTCCCGGAGGGGCGCCCCAAGGGTTCGGTCGGGCATGTCCTCCGACAGGCGGATGTGGGACGAAAGGTGAAAAATAGTAAAACACAAAGTGCAGAAATGGCCAAAAATGGTCATACGAATGGTTTAAACTACTTCTGAATCTTTGTCTCGGCTACACGCAAGAGTGACCCTGGGTAAGAGTGGCCTTTGGTGCGCAACTTTTGGGTGGCCGCGGGGGGGCCAAACCCAGGCGCGCAAAACGCTACTATCGCATCGCGTCCGGTGAATCGGGAGACCCCACTGAGCCCGGACCAAAGGTCACTCCGGCGAAACGTCACGCTTACGTGTAGTCGATATGTGTCCTGTAGAATGGCACGCCCAGCTTAACCAGAGGGAGGCGGCGGGCCGGACGGCCTGCGGCAGGTCGTCACGGGCTGCTCGTTCACGGTGGAGCCAATAAAAAGCGGCGGAGCTTACTGTTCCTGGACGTGCTGCAAGCAGAGTGATCTCGCCACGTGATGAGACTCCTCCTCCTCCTCCTTCTCCTCCCCCCCTCTCCCTTTCCTCCTCCTCCTCCTCCTCCTCCTCCTCCTCCTCCTCCTCCTCCTCACCCCCCCCCCCCTCCTCCTCTCCTCCTCCTCTCCTCCTCCTCCTCCTCCGCCCTCCTCCTCCTCCTCGCCTCCTCCTCCTCCTCCTCCTCCTCCTCGCCTCCTCCTCCCCTCCTCCTCCCCCTCCTCCTCCGTAGCCATTTTGGCTCAAGCCCTTTCGCCTCGAGGGTTCTGAGGTTGGCCGGGTGCACTTCGAAGGGGCTCAGCTCGGCCGAGCCATGGCTTTGCAGGTGTTGCGATGATCAAGACCCGCCAAAAGAAGGAGACCCAGGCCGTGAATCATTGGATCTTCGGCAAGGTCATCATTCTGAAGGCGAAGGTGACCAAGGCCTGGAATAATAGGATCTTCGGCAAGGTCGTCATGGTAAAGGGCGTCGGGATGACCAAGACCCGCCAGGTGAACATGAAGGCGACCAGGTTCGGGGATCATTGGATTTTCGACAAAATCGCCATGGTGCAGGCGGGCAATATCATCCCGAGCGTTGTGATCATCAAGACCCGCCAAAAGAAGGCGACGAAGGTGTGAAGCCCTTCGAGGGCTAGCTTTGAGAGGGGGGCGGGCGGGCCAAGGGGGGGGGAACCGCTCCCTGCCCCTTCCCCGACGCGTCTCGGGCCGTCCTGGGTCCGGGGCCTTTTGGTGGCCCCCTCGCGTTGCTTTTGGCCCTTTGTGGGCCGCTGCTGGGCCTTGGTGGCTTGGCGTGCCGCGTCGGGCACAAGGGTCGGGTGCGGTTCGTCCTCCTGGCCGCGGCCGCGTGGCAGGGGCAGGGAGAACCTGCCCGCATCATCAGATCCCTCAGATCCCTCCCCCTCCTCCTCCTCCTCCTCCTCCTCCTCCTCCTCCTCCTCCTCGCGTCCTCCTCCTCTCCTCCTTCTCCTCCTCTTATTGTTCTTCTTCTTCGTACTATTATTACTAATATTAATAGTAGTGTTGTTATTGATATTACTATTGTTAGTATTATCATCATGTTTAGCATTATTTGTATTAGTTTAATCATTAGTATTACTACGACTAGTATCATTGATACTATTATTTGGTATTATTAGTATGTTGGTATATGTATTCTTATTCGTATTATTAGTGTCATTATTCGCGTTATTATTTTTAGTAATACTATTATTAGTATGCTTATCATTCGTAGTATTATTCTTATTCGTACTATGATTAGTAGTACTATCATTATTAATATTAGCATCAGTATTACTACTAGTATTACTATTAGGATTAGTAGTAATATTAGTTTTATTAATATTATTATTATTATATCATTATTATCATTAGTTAATACTGTTATTATGATCATTATCCTTATTATCAGCTTTATTATGAGTATTCGTAGTAGTAGTAGCAGTAGTAGTAGTAGTAGTAGTAGTAGTAGTAGTAGTAGTAGTAGTAGTAGTAGTAGTAGTAGTAGTAGTAGTAGTAGTAGTAGTAGTAGTAGTAGTAGTAGTAGTAGTAGTAGTAGTAGTAGTAGTAGTAGTAGTAGTAGTAGTAGTAGTAGTAGTAGTAGTAGTAGTAGTAGTAGTAGTAGACGTAGTAGTAGTAGTAGTAGTAGTAGTAGTAGTAGTAGTAGTAGTAGTAGTAGTAGTAGTAGTAGTAGTAGTAGTAGTAGTAGTAGTAGTAGTAGTAGTAGTAGTAGTAGTAGTAGTAGTAGTAGTAGTAGTAGTAGTAGTAGTAGTAGTAGTAGTAGTAGTAGTAGTAGTAGTAGTAGTAGTAGTAGTAGTAGTAGTAGTAGTAGTAGTAGTAGTAGTAGTAGTAGTAGTAGTAGTAGTAGTAGTAGTAGTAGTAGTAGTAGTAGTAGTAGTAGTAGTAGTAGTAGTAGTAGTAGTAGTAGTATTAGTAGTAGTAGTACTAATAATATGTTTCTTCTGCCTCCTCCTCCTCCTCGTCGTCCTCCTCCTCCTCCTCCTCCTCCTCCTCCTCCCCGCCTGCTCCTCCTCCTCCGCCTCCTCCACCTGAGATTCGCATCACGTGACGAATTCCAGTTGCCGATGCTGCAGAGATTGGGCGAGGTGGTTGGCTCGCTGGTGTAGCGCGTTGATGCTAGCGATGAGGCCCGATTCAGGGTCACCGTCAGGTTGGCCGAGCCCGAGCGGGTCGAGTTCGTCTTCGCCGAGGGAACCGAGCTGTCCTCACCACGGACCGTCGAGGCGGTCGAAACTATAGTCGAGCGTCTGGGCGGGTCAGTCGGCCTCTGCAGGCGATCCTGCACAACAAACCTGCAGGCTCCTGCCCGCAGGCACAGGTCCGTGCGCACCCCTGGCTCCGCAGGCTCCTGCACCATCCGGCGCCCTGGCTGACCCCCGTTTGCAGTGAGGAGGAGGAGGAGGAGGAGGAGGAGGAGGAGGAGGAGGAGGAGGAGGAGGAGGAGGAGGAGGAGGAGGAGGTTGGAGGAGGAGGAGGAGGAGGAGGAGGAGGATCAGGAGGAGGAGGAGGAGGAGCAGGATCAGGAGGAGGAGGAGGAGGAGCAGGGAGGGAGGAGGAGGAGGAGGAGAGGAGGAGGAGGAGGAGGAGGAGGAGGAGGAGTGGGAGGAGCCCCGACCTCGACACGCCGCCTCGCCCGGGCCTGCCCTTCGACTCCCCGCGCCGCTGCGGCCGTGCCCGCCCTTCGAGCCCCGCCCCGCCGGCCTCTCGGCCTCTTGGCCGAGCGGCCGGCGGGCCCATCGGGCGGCCTCTCGCCGTGCTGCTCGCCGGCCGGCCGCCCTCGGGGGCCCCACCGCCGCGCACCCGCCCGCCGCCCGCCGAGCCGCGCCGCGGCCTGCGGGCTCCCCGGCGCCCCTCCCTGCGCTTCTGGCCCGCGGCCCGCCGCGGCGCCCTATAATGACTGTGCGGGCGCTGCGCCTGCCGACCGGGGCCGACCGGCGCCGCAGCGCTGTCCGCGGGCGCCGCCGGCGAGGGCCGCCCGCCGCGCCTCGGCCTGTGGCCGCCGCCCGCTCCAGCGGCCGCCGCTGCCGCTGCCCTGCCGCTGGGCAGCGCTCTGCCGTCCATTCTCCCTGTGCTTTTTTTGCCGGCTTCGTGCGTGGCTTTGTCGCCACATGAACAAGGATGCTCCTCGACGGTCCTCGCCGAAGGAAGCACCTGCTGCCTTGCCTGGCCGGCGAGCGCGCGCGGGCTGGCGGGCACTTTGGAGCGGCTTGTTGCTTGGCTCGGCCCGCGACGCTCAAGAAGTGGGTGTCTGTGTGTGGTTGGCTGTGTGTATGTGTATGTTTATGTCTATGTGCTTCTGTGTGTTTGTTTGTTGTGGTTGTGGTTGTGGTTGTTGTTGTTGTTGTTGGTGTTGTTGTTGTTGTTGTTGTTGTTGTTGTTGTTGTTGTTGTTGTTGTTGTTGTTGTTGTTGTTGTTGTTGTTGTTGTTGTCGTTGTCGTTGTTGTTGTTGCTGCTGCTGCTGTTGTTGTTGTTGGTGGTGTTGTTATTGATATTGTTGTTATTGTTGTTATTGTTGTTATTGTTATTGTTGTTGTGTGTGACTGCGTGTGTGTGTGTGTGCGTCTGTGTGTGTCTGCGTCTGCGTCTGCGTCTGCGTCTGCGTCTGCGTCTGCGTCTGCGTCTGCGTCTGTGTGTGTGTGTGTCTGCGTCTGTGTGTGTGTCTCTGTGTGTGGCTGCGTCCCACCAGCTCCCGAGTAGCACGGCTCGCCTGCCCTCCTCCGCCTCGTTCTCCTCGCGCCTCCCGCTCCTCCTCCATCGTCGTCGTCGTCGCCGCCCCTCTGCTCGTCGTCCCCCCGCTATTCCCCCGTCGTCGTCGTCGTCGTCGTCGCCCCGATGTTCGTCTTCACTCCTCCCCCCAAGAGAGGCCCACGAGGACCCCTCCCAGGGCCCTCGGGTGCAACACTCAGTGGTCCACCAACGGTCCTTGACTGATTCTGGCGGCTCGTCCTTTCAGTCCTCCCGCGCTCTAGGACGGTCCAAGAGGCCCCCCAAGATCGCCCCAATGCGTCGGTCTTCCAGCGCTCCACGACGGCCCGAGAGGCCCCTCAAGAGCGCCCCACGGCGTCGGTCTTCCAGCGCTCTCAGGCGGCCCAAGAGGCCCCCTAAAGATCGCCCCAAGGCGGCCCAGGGAGCTCCCAAGTACAGAGAGCCGCAGGACGGCGCAACGGAATCTCAAGAGATGCCCAGACCTCGGCCCCAGGATCACCCCCGAGACCGCCAGCACGCCCCCAAGAGGCCCCCAGAGGCCCGAGCGATACCCCGCAGGGCCCCCAAGAAGCCCCCAGGAAGCCCAAGGAGACCTCCAATAATCAAGAGGCCTCCAAGAATCAAGAGGCCCCCGATACGGTAATCAAGAGGCCCCCAAGCCCAAGACCCTCTGAGAGGCCTCCGAGAGGCAGCTCAAGAGACCCGTGTACGCGTTCAAGAGGCTTCGAGCCCACGATCCAGGCACGGTAATGGGATGGGACGACGGAGAGGTGGCACGGTGGTCTGTCTCTTCTCCAGTCTCGAAGGGCTGCTGAAGTCGTTCTGGGATAATCGTCGACCTGCCTTCGTACGCTTTTCGATTCCCTCACGGTCTTCCCGGGGCCACCTGACCCCCCTGCAAGGTGATTTCAGGGTCGGCGGAATTGGCAATAAGGCCTCTCCAATCTTAGCGCGCATTTCCCGTCGACACTGGGGCCTTCGGGGGATGATGAATTTCCGTGGGGTCATGAGAGTCCAAAACCGAATCGATAAATCGGATCGACAACCGATATCTATCGAATCGGCAGAAATCGGCAGCCGAGTCGGGAGAAGTCGAATCGGTGGAAATCGGCAGGCGAGTAGGCCTCCATTGAGAAATCGGAGCCCGAATCGGAACCCCGAGTCGAATCGAATCGGAACGGGAACCCATCGGGATCGAATCGAATCGGCGGAATCGAAACGAGCCCTGCGGGGTTCCTGCTGGCAGGCCCATGCCTCGTCCGGTGCGCCTTCTGCAGAGCGCCACGGGAGGCCCAGGGTGCGCCTTCTGCAGAGCGCCACGGGAAGCCCAGGGAGGGCCCAGGGGCGTCCGAGATCTGGGACCTGGACGCCGCGATGCTCCCCCCTCCTGAGGGCAGGAGGAGTCCTGAGGGCAGGAGGAGTCCTGAGGGCAGGAGGAGGAGGAGGAGGAGGAGGAGGAGGAGGGAGGAGGAGGAGGAGGAGGAGGAGAGGAGGAGGAGAGGAGGAGGAGGAGGAGGAGGAGGAGGAGGAGGAGAGGAGGAGGAGGAGGAGGAGGAGGAGGAGGAGGAGGGGAGGTGGAGGACGAGGAGGAGGTGGAGGAGGAGGAGGAGGAGGAGAAGGAGGAGAGGAGGAGGAGGAGGAGAAGTAGAGAGGAGGAGGAGGAGGAGGAGGAGGAGAGGAAGGAGGGGGAGGAGGGAGAGGAGGGGGAGGATGATTGGGTCGAGGGCTGGGGTGGGCGCGCCTCGGAGTGGAAGGCGAGCAGCCGGTCCGCCTCTAGGCTGACCTGGGCGGCGCGCACACCAGGGTGGGGCGAGGGCGGGGGTGGGCTCCCGAGCAGGTCACGGGGGGGGCGTCTCAGAAGCCCTTGTGCCTTCTGTTAGGCGTGCTTAAAAGCCTCCAGGAGGCGGGGGAGGAGAGGACAAGGGGAGGAGGGAGAAGAATGCATTCTCGAAGTCCTCCAGCCTGCTGCGAAGAAGAAAGAAACGCTATAAACATAAATGTTCGACGCGTCTACGGAACCCTACGTCTTCTCCGCAGGCTGCCCCCCACAAACTGCTTAAGACTCGTCCCCGGGCACGTCACAGGGGGCTACCTGGGTCTTCTCCCCAGCCGCGCCACAGCCTCGGCGTCTGAGCCCATTCGGCCGCCGAGTGGACAGAAGATTGAGCCCGTTCGACGGCCGAGTGGGCCAACTGCGCACCACGCTGCAGGCATTGAGCCCGTTCGGCGGCCCACTCGGCGGTCCCACGGGCTCAGCTACCGAGCGGGCTCAGAAGGGAACCCTCGGGACACGCCCCCCCCCCCCACACACACCGTCCATGGCGACGACGCCGACGTCCACCACTCTTACCTGGG